ACAAAATAACGTTCTTTTTAGCAGCATCATATGACCCCTTTAAAACAATGTAAATCAAATGCCAAAAAAAATAAAAGGTATTGTTACATTTTCAAACAAAGTGCAACACAAAAAAGGTTTACTGTGATTACAGGGCCATAAATTTGGGTTGAAATGTTGCTTATGTAAGAACCACAGTTACATTCTGTAAATGAATTTTTCACACACAAATTACAGTATAAATATGAACCGGAGAGAAGGAAAAGTGGAATAATGAGTGTATTGTGGCCACTGCATTAGTAACAGAAGAAAAATTGTGGGTGAAGGACAGATCTCAAAGACGTTGTTGTTTTCAGACATGAACACGTGAGGATGTGTGTGTCTGTGACGCTGTACCTCCACGCTGTCATGAGTTGGAGAGGAGGATGTAGAGGAGTTCTCTGCTTGGCGGCGTGAGGAAGACGAGGGCCCGATCTCAACAGTCCGAACACGCTGAGCGAACTTCAGAGAGCAAACCGACTCACTGGCGTTACTCTCTAGAGGAGACACCTGAGATACAGAGAGAAGAATCTTAGTTTATCAGAAAGAATGATAAACTGCACACTAAACTAACATGATGTAGGTAGAAAATCTTGTAATCTTGTGATTGGAATCATAAGGAATTTAAGTAATGTGGTTCCAATTCAGAAACTACTTAGTTGTGATTCCATCCATGATTCTTATAAAAACCCCAAAATGTTTAAACACTGAATTTTCCGAGTGATCGAGACTTTGAGGCATTATGTGGAAACATTTAAAGTGGCAGTGGTTTCAGCTTTAAAATCGTATTATAAGTCCACAACATTTTTTTGCATTTGAGGGTTTTCATTAGTGATTAGCATAAAACAACAAGCGTGTGCATGAACTGCTTAAAATACCTTGACTGCTCATGCTGTACCAAGTACAGTCTTTATCCCCTAAATCCATTCAAATCCACTCAAAATGTGTCAAGGTTTAAAATAAGCCTCTCCATTACAACCCTGCTGACCCAGTGATCCAGAGAGCACTCACACACCTGCACCATCATGAGGGTCTTGCTGTCTCCGCTGAGCGAGTCCTGCAGTAGGTACGTGAGGCGGGAGTTCCTGAAGGGCACATGCGAGTGTTTGGAGCGCAGGGCGTTGATGACGTCGCCCAGCGCAGACAGTGATTTGTTGATACACTGAGCCTCGCGCAGACGGTTGCCCTCGGCGCCGGATTTGGTAATCCGCTCGGAACCAGCCAGATCCACCAGATTGAGCTTACCTGCAAAAATAAAGAAAAAAAGAGATGGTTTCATATTTACATTTTTAGTTATTTGTGTGCGAGGCAGTTTACATGAACTGTGTGTGTACCTGAGGTACGGTGGCCTGTGGAAGAGTTGAAACCCGCCACTGTGACGATAAGGAGAGCGAGTTGAAACCCGCCACTGTGATAATAAGGAGGGCATGAGAGCGAGAGCTGTGCTCGTTTAGATTAGTGCACGCTGTCGCCCTGTTCATGTGACCCAGGTCAAACACCTGCAGGGTCAAAGGTCAGCGGTTACAAATAATGAATTCAATTGAAATGGGTTGATGCTCGTCTCTATGACAGAACTTGCATTGGGACACTGATCACTGAATTTTGAATACCTTTGAATTACCATCATTAGGAATTAACACAATACTAAACTGTAAAAATGGTGAGAAAAGTGCAGCAAGTTTTGTTATACTACAGCAAATTATGCATAATTAAAAGCAACTACTCTTAAACCAAACTATAAACCTAACCTTATAGCAAGTACATGTAGCTAATTAATATTACTCCGT